CCTCCAACTCCTGGGCTCAAGCGAGTCTCCTGCGACTACAGGCACCTGCCACAATGCCTGGCTATTTTTTGGTTGCAGTCCATCATTGTTGTTTGGCGAGCCCAGGCTAGATTCGAACCTGCCAGCTCAGGTGTATGTGGCTGGTGCCTTAGCCACTTGAGCCACAGGTGCCGAGCCAATTTTACTTCTCTTAATCTAAAAATCCATTTTACAAATGGGGGAAGGAATTTGCATAAGCTAGTAAGTGGTGGATGTAAGATTTGAGCCAAGGTCTGTAGAACTTGAAAAGCTGTCTGTTATGCTATACTTCTCTGTGTACTAGATGTTTAGCATGTCCAGTGTTCCCTTGTGTTAATTGATAATTAGGTAGGAAACTTTGTGAGGCTAAAAGTCCTAACTTTTGCCACTGAGTCTCCTGTGCCCTTTTTTTTTTTTTTTTGGAGATAGAGTCTCAAGCTGTTGCCCTGGATAGAGTGCTGTGGCATCACAGCTAACAGCAACCTCAAACTCTTGGGCTTTAAGAGATTCTCTTGCCTCAGCCTCCCAAGTAGCTGGGATTACAGGTGCACCTCACAACGCCTGGCTATTTTCTTTTTTGGTTGTAGTTGTCATTGTTTTACGTGACCCAGGCCAGGTTTGAACCCACCAGACTCTATGTATGTGGCCAGCGCCCTACCCACTAAGTTGGGGGCACCGCCAATCTCTAGTGCCTTTGATGGAATTTTTTTTTCTTTTGAGACAAGTCTCACTCTGTTGCCTTGGGTTGCTGTGGGCATACATCACAGCTCACAGCATCCTCAAACTCTTGGGCTAAAATGATTCTCTTGCCTCAGCCTCCCAAGTAGCTGGGAGGCACCTGTCACAACGCCCGGCTATTTTTTGATTGTAGGTGTCACTGTTGTTTGGTGGGCCTGGGCTAGATTCGAACCCTCCAACTCTCGTGTATGAGTCTGGCGCCCAAGCCTCTTGAGCTACAGGTGCCAAGCCTTTACCTCACCTTTTGATGGTATCTTGATGATACAGTTGTATATGTACAGTTAGTGCTCTTGATGATAAATGTTTTATTTTATGGAAATATGGCATGAGTATTTTAATCTTTCAGCAGTTCAGCTTTATAGTGAAGTTTTTGTGTTTTAGTTTAGTGAGGATTCTTTTTTAATAATATATCAGCCCTTAAATAGGGATTTAATTGAAGAAATCCTAGTATATGGTCTGAGCCAATAAGTGGCATAAAAGCACTTTATTGCTTTATTTATTTATTATTTTTACATTTTTTTAGAGTCAGGGTCTTACTTTGTTTTCCAGGCTGGACTGTAGCAGTACATTCACAGCTCACTGTCTCCTTGAATTCCTGGGCTCGAGTGATCATCTTGCTTCAGCCTGCTGAGTAGCTAGCACTGTAAACATTGGCCATCATGCCTACTTAATCTTTAAATAATTTTTCATAGAGAAGAGGTCTTGCTATTTTGGCTAGGCTGGTGTCTTGAACTCCTTGTCTCAAGTGATCTTCCTGCCTTGGCCTCTCAAAGTGCTAAGATTACAGATGTGAGCCACTATGCCTGGCCAGTGCATTTTTTTTTTAATTGTTAGAGTAATATAACTATAATACAGAAAATTTGGAAATCAGAGAAAAAAATCTTCCATAATTTCATAGTTTATGGTGCTTATTTTCAGTTTTATTTTAAAAGAGTATACACTATGTGCTAATAAATGTTATCACCTTAGCGGTCTGGTTTAACCATTATTAAATACAGGGCAGAGTTTGAAAATTACTACAGGTCCTCAGGAGCAGAAAAGGAATATTTTACTTACCATGACAGATATTTGAGTTCTTACTATGGAAAAGGCACATTAATGAGATATTTTTCTGTTTAGCCTGTAATTATATTCCAGTGTATTCAGGAAATCTGTGCTTCCTTGAGAGTTATCTAACTATTCTCAAAG